GTATACTTCGTTCGATTACGTATTATGATGCTAGGGACATCCCCTTGTTGTCAACCATGGAAGAAGAATACACACGACGTCCGCTGAATCTGCTGGCGATAACACAATGAAACAGTATCAGCAGTAGTGTATCGCAATAAATATCTGTAGATGAACGTACATATGTTGTGTTAGAGACTGGAAGCTGCGATTAATGGGTGAATCGTGCGTGTGGTAGTGAATAATGCAGCGAGAGAAATTATGTATTGACCATATATTCACTCATCTGACGCTGTGCATGGAAGGTCATATTATTGATTGAGCTTCTATTACTTGTATATGGGCCTGACATACCTTACACTGTCAAACAGAAGGAGAAGACATGCTCTTGCACTGCTTGTTCCCTGAAGCAATTTATACAACCAGTCATCCCCGCCAGCTACAGCTGTTGTTAATGTGTACATCAAGTGTATCCTAACGCTTGGATGAATTTGAATAGCTACAACTAGAGAGTCTTTAGCGAGCGTAGCCATGGTAATCAAGCTATTCATGATTTTACTTTTGGCCCAAGGCTGGCATCAGATAGGCCAATTGTATGTTTTACCTGCAGCTCGCTCCCACACCCAACATAGATATAGCCATCCATCATAATAAATACGCATGTATAGCGTGCATCCTTGATACATCTTGTGGATAGCGTTTACTTTGCGTACCTTCTAAAAGCGTCATCATCATCGTCATTTGTACAACCTATCAAGGACGTGTTTGTGTAACCATCACGTGCCATTTCGCTCATTCTTCACATCTTTCCGTCAATGCAATGACACCGTATGCATTAGGAAAGCAACTCCACCACGCTTACAGCATAGGTAAAACACCAATTGACTGTATCTCCAAACTTTACAATGAAACGTGGGGTTTTGAATAGAGCAATGGGCTCGGCAGCCAACAGCACCTTGTGGCAGAAAGTTCAAGTTCATTAAATGGCTGTCCCAGATTTCGCATGTCGCCACCAACCAAACTGGATCTGGAGGTCGACCTGTCTTTGAAACGACGACCAAAAAAATATTTTTGGGAAACATTTGCGACATTTAGACATGAAACTTTCACACAAGAATATTAACAACGCTCTCTGTCAAACACGTTTCGTAGACTGAGCTACAATTCACGCATGTTTACTGCTGTAAGCATATTGAGTGCTACCACTAATAGATAGTATCATTTTCGTAACGAAAAACTGAAATGGCACATGATCAATTACGTCTATATTTTAGAAAAATAAGCAAGATCTAATAAGAAAGAATATATCAAAATAATATATATATATGCGTATTTATTATGGATGGATATATATATCTATATTTAGTGTGTGGAAGTTGGCTGCATAAATAAATGCACTACAAACTAGTGTGCCGAAAAACAAAACAAAAAATAAAAATCATGAATAACATTTATATAACACGCTCAGAAGACTCAAATTTTATGTCAATTAAATCAAGTGTTATAGAATACACTGATATGCACATTAACAACGCGTAGCAGTTTGGCAAAATTTGACTTGTTCTATATTTTGCTAAATTCAGGTCATGAAGAGCAGAAAAATACATCTTCTCCTTTTCCGTGTTTGCGAGTAGCCAAACCGGAATTTGTGTCCGCGCCACAAAACGCCAACTTGTCATGACGCTTCCATGCACAGCGTCAATGAGTGAGACACGAGCCGATGGCGACACTCCGAATTTGCGGAGCACCATGCCACACATCACACGCGGTCTACCACACCGATACGGCTTCCCCGCTACCTTTTTATTTATCACATTTAAATAACACATACTGTACATATAATTAGCTTTTTTGTATTCTAAAATTTATCGCTTTATTCTATCGTCCAAAGAATAAATAAATAATATATTCTTCTTTTCATAGTTGGTAACGAAATTATCTAACCTCTTACATTACTTCTTTGATGACAAGTAAACGAATGTTACGGTGCTTCTCTTACGCTGCATTTATTGTAAGCACGAACTTGTTGAATGGTATTTGCAAGCGAAAACGTCTTCCAAATCTCAAAAGTACAAGTCACCGCATTGTGCATCTGTTTCAGTAGTACGCATAGTATTTGAATCTACAAAACAATTTTATTTGATTAATAAAACTGACAGAAGCACTTAGCTAAGCGCTTTAATATAGTTGTAGCATAGAATACACTTGTTTGGGAAGCAAGATGCTGTTGAAAATACCTTAAAGGGTAAAAAGGCGTTCATCCAGTTGGTCGTGCAAATGGATTTAAGAAGGTATAAAATGTTGGCAGGATCAGGAAGGCCTTTCTCGTCATATTACGGTACCCTTAACTGAGGTGTCATCATTGTCCTCTATTGTTTCAGGGGCGACTGTTGCTTTAGCGGGGTGTGCGATCACCCACTAATTGCATCCTCTGTTCGTGGCACGATGGATTACCAAGAGGACGTTGTCATCTTTCTTATTATGACTTGGACAACATCTCGGAAGAAGATACACATGTCCAATGCACATATGACTTGGCGTTTGGATACAATCAATCACACCAAAGGCTCTTCAGACTTATCACTGATGAAGATACACGCAATTTATCGGTCTATCAGCATTGCCAGCAACTCTTTTCTCCTTGTTTGTGATTATGATATGCCCACGCCACAAAATACAAGGAAATATGGACAAGGTGAATGTTGTCTTTTTTTCGCCATCGTTTTACTCCCACACATCTCTTTCTTCCATCATCGTATCACTCTTCGATTGCTGGTACATCAATGCCCTTGGTAAGTGTCATTGTGGATGGACCTCTTTGTGAGCGATACATGTACTCATATTGCGACGATCTTTAGCCTTTCATTGTTATCCTACTTCCATTCTCTTGTTGTCATTGTGATATTTGGCTCTTTGGATAAGGTAAGATCCTGATCACCTTGCTTGAATTAAGCATGTACTCATATCCTTTTTTGATATAGCTACCTCTCGAGACACATATGCAAAGCTGGATAAGATGGCACGCCGCAACCCGCATGGGGAGGGTGATATTACAGCACAAACGCAAGAACTCGTTTTGCAGCGTTGAAGATTCTCCCGTGGCACCAGCTTCTGCTGCATCCACCATTCCATTGGCAGCATCTGTAGGTATTGAAAAATTCAACATGGCTTATTCTCACGTGATGAAAGGAAAGATGTGGTCATTGAAGAAGGGCAAAGTCGTTGGAGAAATCATTAAGGAGCATGCTATTCGCTGTAAAAACGAGCAGTAAGTATACATACCGAAAAACAATGAGAAAAGCAGCCGATTAACTTTTTTTGCTTTATTAGCCCTTCACATTCGTTTATCCTTGATATGGACGATCCTATACATGCGTGTCTAAGAGCATGGTTTGTAACAGCATGCAAGACATGAGCGAAGATGACTTCTACATCGAGGATGTCAAAACCGTACCTACCGAATTCAATGTACATTGGGACACTTGGTGAACAACTCTTGCAGAAGAGCGCGAGCTGGATAGATGTCAATTGAGCATTTCCTCTGTGGGCGACCAGCCTAGTCGGTCAACGCGAGCGATGGGCGGATTTGGGAAAGCAAGTCGGCTAGGAACAAGTTGATGACCTTGGATCCATGGATTATTTCCCCTTCCTTCAGCAATTTCGCAACCGGTCCTCATACAACGATCAAAAAGGACCACCGGGAACTTTGTCGTGCGTGATCTTGTAAGTAGTTATATCACACATGTACGTGTATCTGACACTAAGCGATGATACATGTAGGGCAATGGACCATGTATACTATTCCTCAAAAAGAAAGGGCCAATCTTGCATGAAATGCATCACGGACTCTTGGAACCTGTACGAGATGAGGTGTTTACGGTGTATATGCGTGTGCGTGAGATGTCAGATGCGATAGGGGTAAGTGATACTCGGTAGGGGATGAAGATTGGATAGTAACCTACATGCACACAGATGCCTATTCGCAGCAGCCCTATGACATACTGGTATTCGTTGTCATCGAACCATCTTCGCTATATCAACAACCTAGAAGGAAATGAAAATGTGCAAGGTGGATGTTTGAAGGTGGCATATCTTTTCCGACAATAGAACTAGGTCACCATTTTCAACCCTCCCCATAGTTTCCTCTTTCTTCTTCATGTCAAGTAAAATGCCGATTTATATGAACAATTACTATGATGCGACTTTTCCGATCAAATAAAATGAAGGTCATGGTTGTCTAGTCTAATATTTACAAGAAGCGAGATGTTCATGTATCTGTGGGAGGGTAAATGAAAAAGTGGAATCACAATGAGGGCAATACCAATAAATCTTGACATGTCGAGGGATGCGTTGTTCTTCAATTGGGATACTGGATGCCGTAGATGGTGTCTCAAGGCTATTGTAATGGATCACCGATGTAATTTGCATTCCTTCACGTATCACTAGTGAATAAAACGTTAGCTGACATCTACTACTATCGGCTGAAACTATCCAATACCTACCTTCTTTGGGATTCCAAGAGCGAGGGATACCTTCTTGTTCCTCGACGGGTGCTTTATACTTGGGATACTATTATATAGCATTATCAGTAAAGGGAATGTGCCCTGTACGCTCCCTCCATACACCTACCATCTTGATGAGTTCAGAGGGCTTGGCTATTCTAAAATCAGCTGATATGGCCGTCTCCATTGCCTCTGCTAATTGAGCTAGTAGATAGATGATGCATGTTTAGAAGCAAGCTTGATTCGTTGTTGCATTTTCGATATTTACCTGCTAATTGGGATACCTGCTCCTGATAGCGAGCTTCCACAGCTGGTGTCCATAGGTCGGTGGTTGTATCATCTTGTCGCCTTTGTTGTTCCTCTTTGATAATACGTTTGATAACCTTGGGCGTATTTTCGTCGGCAGCTGCAGCAGGGGTAACAACATAATCTTCAATTGCTTGATGAGATACTCGCTTGATGACGAATGTTCCATGTCAGTGTTTGGATATTGAAAGAAGTTTAATCCATTTACCTGTCCTAAACCACGACCGATGCGCTGATTAAGTAAGCGAAGCCATGTGTTGCGTAATCTGTATGATTGATAGAGCACAAAGGCTGCCACTTGGGCTGTTCGAAATTGGGCCATATAATACGAGTCAAAGACGAGGACACTGCAATCGGCGTTGGTATCAACTAATAGGGCGCATTGAGTGAAATGAACATGGAATCAATAGACCAACCTAACAAGCTTACTTGTTTTCGCGCAGAGTAGCAAGGTGTGAATACCTACAAAATACCCAACAATGATGTCAGCTGATTGCCATCAATGCAAGATGATGGTATCTGTCATACCAGGAACACGTGTAATGCCTAAAAGATAGGGTTTGTTTGTTTCCAAGAGTTGCAGGTAACACAGCAGCTGATGTTGTAATGCCCGTTCAACAGCTTCATCATCTACCAATTTCACAATGAACATCCTTGTTCTCTTTGCCGACCATGTAAACCAACAACAACATACCTTTTCTCACATTCTCGCCAAGACCTTGAACCCAATCCGGATGAGCTGCAATGACACTGGTTGGATGTATGGAAAGGAAATTCTTGACTACATATCATCATGACGTTGGATATTAGAAAATCAAGGGTCTGATACCAAAGAGCAAACATGTCACTTACAGCGTGTGTGGAATACGATTTCGTTGCTATTGCGATAAGGGTTGTGGGCATCACCAATGGCGAGTTGAGGATAAAACGCAGAACAAATGATTAACTTGATGAGATCAACGTCGACGGAGCTGAGTAATGCTGCCTTTTGCCTTAGATCTTTCAGGTTGTTGGTCATAGAAAACTCGAGATCACGTATATCGGCAGGTCCTTCATTATCCACTACAAATGGTCATGTCTTTGTTAGATGAGGGGTTAAATATTAGAATGAATGAGCAATAAAACAAAGAAACTTACTTTGCCAATCCTCTTGTCCTTCGTATTCCATTGTTAACACACGTCGCCGTTTGCTGGATCGTTGTTCGTATCGCTCACGTTTCAGCATGTCACGTTTTGATTGTCGCTCTTTCTATTACAATATCAATCAGTGCCTATTGCCATCATACAATGAATGGATACCTACCTCCTTATCCTCAGTGTCCGAATCAGCACTCAAGAATTGCAATAGCCCCGGTTGGAAATCATTCAGCACCTTCTCAAATTGACGTCTCATTTTGGCAATCTTCAATTACAAAGATGTTAGAATCTTATCGTTAAACAATGCAAGTCCCAATAATACCTCATACAAACGTTGCTCTTCCAATCCATGTCTTCTACACCATGAGCGTGATGATGTCTTTCGATCCGTTTTTGCATCCAGCCATTGTTGCCAAACGTTCAGTAGGGTAAATGGGTCGCCATGCTCTGAATGAAATATACGTCGATTCTATTGGACCCGTTAGCTGTCATAGCCACGCATACACCTTTCTTCATCCCACCTACCTTGATAATGTCTGAATGTGTGTCCGGGTTTAATCTCGTAAAAGGTGATTGTACACTGAGACTAGCTGCAATGGTAATAACTGGATCCACAAGATTGAACACCTTTCAAGAGAGAGTTGTCAGCTTCATCATGCCCATTTTCCACTGATACAATAAACATACCGTTGCCATCAAGAGCATCTTGCCAATCACTGCATCCACCGGTAGGTTGGCTAACACGGTTCCCAATCCAGTAATGTTTTCAGCATTATCAAGTGCACCAAGATTTTGAAGAAACTCCATGGAGGCATTAACAGCATCTGGATGTGGTGCCTGTAATAATACATTAGGCGACGACGACCTCATAATATTCACCAACAACCCCATTTATCATACCTCGATATAATCAAATGTCCTTGGATCACCTAGATCGAGTGCCTTGATTTGTAATATCAAAGGTTCCAATGGCGCACGTTGTATCTCAGGAACAGCGAAATCATTAAAGTGGTCAAACTCATTCTCCGAGTATAAGCGAAAACATTCACCAGGTCCAGTACGTCCACTTCGACCAGCACGTTGTTTGGCACTTGCTTTGGAGATCCAAAATTCGCTCAGCTTACTCATGTTGGATGTTGCGTCGTGAGTGAGTTCCTTGACCTTTCCAGAATCAACGACGAAGCGAATCCCATCAATCGTCAAACTTGTTTCGGCAATGTTGGAGCTGATGATGCATTTGCGTACTCCTTCGGGTGGCATATCAAACACCTTTTCTTGTTGATCCACAGCCAAAGTCGAATGTAGCATGAGAATGATCCATTGCTTGTTGTGCTCTGCATACTCCTTAAGTGCATCCGCTAATTGTGATATCTCATTGATGCCCGACATGAAAATCAACAAGTCGCCTCGTTCAGTGATGGGGATGGATTGATCAATGTATTCCATCACGCGTCGATAAGGTGCTGGATCAATACGCTCACTTTTGCTGGGAACCGATTCTTTGACAATGGCTCGTTGTCGACGATTGTATTCTGCATCATTGACCAGATTCTTATCCTCTTTGTCGGATGTCCAATAATGCGTCTTGACTGTATACATGCGTCCAGGTACATTCAATGTGGGTGCATCGAAGTATTGTGCAAATAACTCGGCGTTGATCGTAGCACTCATCAATACAACATACAAGTCTTGTCGTGTTTGCAATAATCGCTTCAATAGTGCCAATAAGAAATCGCCCATCATATGCCGTTCATGCACTTCATCCACAATGATCACGTCGTACATGGATAAGGTTGGATCTGCTGCATATTGTCGTAGTAATAAACCTTCTGTTAAAAACAGGATCCGTGTCCGCTTCGTCTTTGTCTTTTCAAATCGCACCTGATAAGCAATCTCTGATCCAAACTCGTTCAAAGTCTCATAGCTGACACGCCGTGCTAACGATGAACATGCAATACGTCGCGGCTGAGTACATGCAATCTTTCGATATCCAGCTTGCATAAGAATTTGTGGGACTTGAGTACTCTTGCCACATCCAGTATCACCAGCAACCAAAAGGACTCGATGTTGTGCAAGTGTGTGTAGAATAGCATTGGCATACGCTGTGATGGGTAATTCGGCTCGATACTTTTCAAGCTTCTCTTTGAGATTCGTCCTCTTTTTGTGCTGAAAATCATGAAACAAGATCAACGCATGTCGTAACAGCTCGCCTTCGCTTTGTAAAAGAGAGGATGATGTGCCTTGTTGTTGTGCTGATGATGATGATGGTGTTGCTGATTGTAAACTTTCTTTGAGCTTGACAAAGAACCCTATATACATGCTTGTTAATAACAAGAAGCATTCATTCATTCATTCATCGATTCTTATACCTTCAAATTCATAATAAATGGGAGATCCACGAGGCATCATCCATGCTGCCAATCCATCTCGTTTACGTGAAAAGAATATCTCGTCGCTCTCATGACTCCAAGGTCGATCATCACTCAATATCAATTTGCCACGTTGTTGTTTGATAAATGCTTGTCCCTTCTCAAGTGCCTCTGCTTTTTTGCTTGGATCGCGTAACTAGATCGAGCCAATGTCAGTATCGAGACGACTTCTTGTGTTGTGATCGCTTACAATGTCTCTGAGATTCCATGCTTTTGCTTTCAGGGCAGCCTCGTTCTTTATGAGTCGTCCGTCAATGTCGTATCGTTCTTCAGGAATGTATTCCTTGTGTCGTCGTCTGCGGTGCTGGTGCTGGTGGTGTTGGCTCATGAAGAGAGAGACGAAAGCGGGAAAAGAAAAAAAGAGAGAGCACAGCGAAAGGGATTCATGCGGGTCCTCCAAGTCAGCTGGGTTGCCAAGAAGGCCTTTCTTTCCTTGTCTATTCTTCACCATGGCCCAGCTACAAATCCCATTTATCAGTGTACCTCCCAAACGCACTCAAGATGTCGATTGGATATATCCACTCAAGCATTACATTGCTCATGTCTATCAAGAAGACCCAGAAAAGTACAATGAGGAAGCCCACATGCTGAATCGGTTACGCCAAGACACGCGTGGAGCTGGCAAGGATACCACAGGAAGAGATCTATTATACCGCTATTTTGGTCAGTTGGAGCTACTTGATTTACGCTTTCCCGTGGATGAAAAGAATGTCAAGGTGTTATTCAACTGGTAAGTCATATTGGGAAGGGATGATATTGTACCTGATAATAATCATAACCACTATTAGGTACGATGCCTTTAATGGACGACCTACTGCACAATACTCCCTTGCATATGAGAAAGCGAGCATCATCTTCAACATTGCAGCCACCTTGTCAGCAATAGCAGCCATACAGAATCGAGGCGAGGCTGAAGGACGCAAAAAGGCATTCAACTATTTCCAAGCAGCGGCAGGAATGTTTCAATACATCAACGACAACTTTTTGCATGCACCATCACAAGATCTAAGTCGAGAGACCGTCAAAGTGTTGACAGAATTGATGCTGGCACAAGCGCATGAATGTTTTTTGGAAAGCAGCGTACGTGAGAAGAAGAAGGATGGATTGGTCGCCAAGCTTGCGAGTCATACAGTTTGGGTCTATGGCAACATTGTGGATGAATTACAAGATGCCGTTTCACGAGGAGCAGGAATTGATAAATCTTGGGTGACTTTATGTCAAATCAAGCACAAGTATTATCAGGCCTTGGCTCAATTCCATAAGGCAGCGACATGTGAAGCCGAAAGTCATTATGGTGAACAGGTGGCTCGATTGAAAGCGGGTGAATCAGCAGCCAAGGAAGCCTCTGGAAAGTTATGCACATCGCTCATCAGCCAAGTACAGTCTTCTGGCAACAACGTCGATGGTACATTACCAGCAGATAGTGGCACGGTGATGCAAGAAATGACAAAGACGCTAGCAGCCACTTGCGAGGAGAAATGCACGGCAGCAACACGTGACAATGATATGATTTACCATGACAATGTGCCTCAAGAATCCATTCTTACGCCTATTGATCGTCTCAAAGCCGTGAAGCCGACACCCATCTCTGACCTCTATGGTCCCAATGATATCAGCAAAGTGATTGGCCCTGACATCTTTGCAAAGTTGGTCCCGCTCAGTGTTCACGAGAGTGCATCCATGTATTCGGAAGAGAAGGCGAAGCTACTTCGAGGCGAATCAGAGCGATGTGATTTGGCAAAGGCGGAATTGCAGACAGCCCTTGATTATATGAAACTCCCTGGATCATTGGACAAGTTTACAAGACAACAGGATCAATCGGTGGATGACCTCATGGTGCCAACAAAGGAGACAAAGCAGTGGGCGGATGATATTGCTTCAGACGAGAATCGTACATCTATTCAGGAGCTGATGGAGACCCTGGAGGGATTCAAACGACATGCATCACAAAAATTGGATGAAGCCACATTTGGCCTTGACAAGGAAATGCATGAATGTGAACGTATGCGTGTAAGTAATATGGGAAGGATGATCTATGTATTGTTGATATTAACATCGCCCTGGATGATGATGATGATGATAGGTCAAGTATGGTGATCAATGGACACAGCAGCCCTCTTCACAAACCACAAGTGATTTTCGACGTGATATCAAGAATCACCGAACCACTTTGCAAACGGCAGCTCAATCTGATGGTGATATCTTGCAACGATATGAAGGGGTCAAGGAGGACATTGCAGTGTTAAAACAAGGAGGCAAAAGCACTGCTCTGGAAAAGGCCTTTTCGGATGGGACATCTTTGGCTTTCAAACAAGATTCAAGCAGCAATGGTGGTGCACAAAGTTTACTGGATTTGGATATGCCCACGAGCAATCAAGGAGGGCAAGATAGCTTGAAGGATAAGGTCAACAAGGTCGAGAATGCCTTGGAGAAATTGCGAAGGATTGAGAGTGAGCGCAATGAGACGCTTCAGGATCTCAGGGAAAAGGTAGATATAGTATTGCTTTGGATGAAGGCCTTTGTTATTCATATTTTTTGCTCTAGTCATTGGATGATGATATTTCAAATGTCTTGATTCTCAACAAAAAGGCTCCCAATGTTGAACAGCAAATCTTTGCCAGTGAGCTTGAAAAGTATCAATCCCATCAGCAACGTATCACAGTGACGATCCAGCGACAGCAGCAAGCAATTCGTGAATTGACGGATGCATACAAGTCATTGATGGAGGATAAGGAGGCGTCTTCATTGCAGACACGCTATGATCGGATACAAGCACAACAACGGAAGGTGGTTGATCGGTTCAAGAATGCAAAGGATCGATACTTTAATGTCAAGGAAGACCTTACGTAAGTTAAAGTTCAAACCTACTATCGTACCCATACAACAATGCCTATCGATATTAATCTTGTTGTATTTAGCAAAGGGATCCAATTTTACTCCAATGCATGTGATGTGATTGATGTGTTATATGGCAACATACAGCGATTTCTACGAGAACGAGAGAATGAGAGAGAGCGACTTTCTGAGCAGCTACAAAGCAACCAAACTGCAAGAGAACAGGAGATCTTGAAGGAGAAGCTTCAGAATTATGGATCCGCTCCTCCTGCACCTACAACATCCACCTCCCAGGGCACTATCGACAATAATGTATCTCGACTCGTTGAACAAGCCCGCACGATGTCTTTGGGTGATCCTAATTCCACGCCCAGTTCATACAGCAACATGCCGATCTCTCAACAGCCTTATGCATCACCATTGCATACAACTACTGCTACGAGTAGTGTTGGGTCAACAGTGCCAATGTATAATCCTGCTTTCCAACAACAACAGCAGCAGCCTACAACATCAACATCAACAGGTTATGGTTATGGTGGTGGTGGTCCTCCTCCTCCTCCTTTACAACAACAACAACAGCAACAACAGCCTCCGTTGCCACCTAAACCACCATCCTCATCACAAACACCTACCACCACCGGTACATATAGCATGTTATCAGCGCCTTATCATCATACACCTACTAGCATGCAGCCAACGTCAAATCAAATGGCTCCACCAGTGCCTCCATCACCGTCTCCTTATGGTAGCATGGCAACACAGCAACAACAACAACCACTTGGTAATGCCTATACACCGATGTCGGTAGGAGTAGGAAGTCGCGGTCCAGATCAATATTATGCAACGGCACCACCGCCACCGCCACCTCAACAACAGTATCAGCCATATCCAGTTCCCATGTCATCACATCCTCCTCCTCCTTCTGGTGGTGCACAATACCCTGGTTACGGTATGCAATATCAACAGCAACCACCACCACCTGCACATTACTCTCAGCAACCTCCAACACCACAACAGCAACAACCTCTACCACCTCAACAACAACAAGGATCTACGAACAATCCACCTTATTGGCAAGGAAGTAGTAGTGGATCACTCTTGGATTAGCTATTTGTAGTTTATTTCTGGATAGCAAATGACATATATGGTAGCAAGGAGAAATGAAAGCGTGTGATAAACTTGTATTGTGATATGCGTGTGTGTGTGTGTTGTATAGAAGCGTGTGTGTGATACAAACATGTAATTACTGCTCCTTGTTGCACTGCATCATCCCTCATCGACATATGGCTTCTCCTAATCACCATCCTGCTACTACTATTACCACGACCACCAACTACTACTACATCATCCAACCAACCATATCCATGGTCCTCCAATGGGTCATCAATAAGGGATGGTATTTATCGGACACAAAGGATACGAATAGAAAGTGCAAAGCAAGCCATCCTATGTCTAAAACCTTAATTATGAACGTGTTCAAAGTAGAAAAGAATGTATTTGATGCGATAGGCTTTGCCATGCTCTTTCTATACAGATGGTATTAAGGAGAAGATGGGTCATCAGCAGCGTTGTTGTTTATTTCTCCAATGGGGCTTTTTTAATGTGTCTCGGGAGGAAGATGACGGAAAAAGCTCGCATCCCATTTTACGCGACTTGGTAACTCCTTGACCATCCTTGTTGTTGCCCCAACAACTATCACTCACTCACATCACTTATCCATCATTCTCTCTCTCTCTCTTCGTGTGTGTGCTCTCTCTTTTTTTCTTTTACCCCTTGTCCTCTCCTTTCACTCACTCAACCTGACTTTTTTACACCACACTTTATCTTTTCTTGATCCCTCATACACACACGCGCACCCCTTTTTCTCTCTTTCTAAAATACATCACTTCCACTCCCTTCTTTGAAAAAAAAACCACCACCATGGGTTGCTGTCAGTCGACTGAAGCACAAGAAGACAAGGCTCGCAATGAAGAGATTGAGAACCAGATCAAACGCGACAAGCTCAATCTTCGCAATGAAGTCAAGATGTTATTATTAGGTAACGCCTACTACTCTCTCTTTTTCTTTCCAACATGGGATGTAGTATATTAATTGATATGAACTATGTAGGTGCTGGTGAATCGGGCAAATCAACGATTTTGAAACAAATGAAATTGATACACGACGATGGCTATTCACTGGATGAAAGAGAGGCGTTCAAGGAAATCATCTTTTCCAACACGGTGCAATCGATGCGTGTTATTTTGGAAGCCATGGATGAGATGGGAGTGGCATTAGACAACCCTGAGAATGCCCATCATGCCACTGTCATTATGGAAATGCCAGCTCAAATCGAACGTGATGCATTGCCACCCGAGGTGACACAAGCTGTCCGTGGTCTTTGGAAGGATCCAAATCTCCAGAGTGTCTTTGAAAGAAGTCGAGAATATCAACTTAATGATTCAGCCAAATAGTAAGTCCTCACAAGTATCAACAACATACATGATCCATTCACTAATGATGATTATAGTTACTTTGACTCGATTGATCGAATCGGGGATCCCAATTATGTGCCCACTGATCAGGATGTATTACGCTCACGTGTCAAGACCACTGGTATCACCGAAACAACCTTCAACATTGGCGAGCTGACTTATCGCATGTTTGATGTCGGCGGCCAACGATCCGAGCGCAAAAAGTGGATTCATTGTTTCGAAAATGTCACTGCCATCATCTTTTTGGTTGCTATTTCGGAATACGATCAAGTACTCATTGAAGATGAGACTGTGGTATGTGTGGTATTTGAAAAGTCATCCTTCTTGATCGCTTAATAAGACATTTATAGAATCGTATGCAAGAAGCATTGACGCTATTTGATTCCATTTGCAATTCACGGTGGTTTGTAAAGACATCCATCATCTTGTTCCTTAACAAGATTGATATCTTCAAGGAAAAACTACCCAAGCACCCCCTTGCAGAAAGCTTCCCCGATTTCCAAGGCAAGTAATCCATCCCATGAGACGAGTTTGTATTTGGAATGCAAACAAACAATCAACTCACACATACACACATACGTCTATAGGACCCAACACGTACGATGCTGCCAGTGAATACATTCTCAACCGCTTTGTGTCATTGAATCAATCCGATACAAAGCAGATTTATACCCATTTCACCTGCGCTACCGATACCAAGCAAATCAAATTCGTCATGGCAGCTGTCAACGACATTATCATCCAAAACAACCTTCGAGATGTTGGCTTGCTATAATGGTTTTTTGTGCGTTGTGTGGACAAGACCAATGGTAATGACGACGAGTTGTTTTTCGAGCCATTTTGAAAGAGATGAACGAAAAAAGATGTCCCCCTCCCTCCCCAACCTATACAAAAATACACGCCCTTGCTCCTTTGTTTCCAATTTTTGTAACCCGTATACGTTCCTTTCTTTTACAAATATAATCAATGCTAGTACTATCCAATAAGTAATTGGCTACCACCATCGTAACACATTACTGCATCTGAGAGCGGATTTGCATGATTGCTGTTGTCTAAGCAGTAATGTATCATTTGCTTTTGGTTAGTTGCCATACAATGCACAGAATAAAAAGTACATAATGTTGTTGTCCTAACCTATACATGATCATGCAAGTGGACTGTAGGGTACTATCTTGTTCATTGAATCGGATAGCCGGATGACCGGATATAAGGCATTCACGCTTCTTTATCAGGCTGAGTGATAAGACATGGATGACTTCTTGGAAGATAAAATCCAAGGGGTGGGGGGGTCATAGACTTTAGTCTATAAAACGAAGAGCAATATATATTTATTGAACTAGATGGCCCAATAGGTCTTTTCAGTGTAAGAAACAATCAAATTGGCTAACTTTGCTAAAGTCTACCCAAATGGGGAAAAGTGCCTAATATCCAAAACCGCGCCAAAATGGATTGTCACGTCGATCCTTTGCATGTTACCAGGTGAATGTGCATGGTTGTATAAGATGGGTCGGATAGCTAGTAATCCAAGCAACTTGGTAAATAGTGGGACTTGGTTCTAAGCATTGCTTCGAAATGGCACATGACATATGGATGAGCGGCTTATACCGAGGAAAGGGCTGGTCGATATTCTTGCATCTTGTTTGATAGAAACCACTAACTCAGAGGTCTTGTGTCACGCATCGATGTTGTGGTTTTCATCATCCACCGATACTTCAACCAATTGGGCCTGGTCTAGATATTAGAAGGCAAGGAAAAGAGAAACAAGGACGATCATCTCTTTGAGCACACACGCACACACACCTCTCTTTTTGTAAAAGGTCGCTTTTCTTTCCTTTCTTTCTTTCTCCTTTCGTTATTCCCACAACGCACACACATGGACTGGTTCCCTAAGCGACGGGCATTCTTTACCCTTCTGACAGCCTTTTTATTACTATCGCTCGTTGCATTCTTTACGAATCTCTATCCTGCTCAAATTGGCGACATTGGTGCCTCGAAAGAAATCGTGCCTGATGCGCATACTGTAGCGAATGGAAACCAAGATGCAGCACCACCTTCCTCATCGACACCGACTGGAGCAGCAGCAGCCACCACTGAAGAGAATGATGATGAGACACCTGAAGCTGAAGATCTCGTTGAAGTGAACACCAAACCCACTGATGCCAAGGATTGGAAGCCCAAGACGTTCCCAGCGATGAGTGCCCAAGTGAAGAAAGTGATACAATCGAATGTGCTCAAGACGAAGAAGGATGATATCTTGTTGACTGCCGTGGCGAACCAAGGCATGGCTGAATATACATTGAACTGGATCGAGTCATTGAAGCGTACCAAGTTGGATACCAAGTTCCTTGTCTTTTCGATTGATGCTGAGCTGGAGCAGACGCTGATCGATCATGGCTATGGCGACCACGTTGTCCAGATCCCGCAAGAGTGGTTCCACAAGCAACTCTCCAGCGAGTTTTCAAAATGGCTTGATTCATCTTATACACCCATCACGCACTCAAAGACATTGGTCGTCGAACGTTTGTTATATGAGGGAATCACCGTCTGGTTCAGTGATGTCGATATCGTCTTTACTTCCGATCATATTTACGATTACCTCGTCGAGAAACTCAACTCCCGAAGAAGCACCACCGAGCTCTTGATCACCCAAGAAACAGAACAAAAGATTACAAACTCGGGTTTCTATTTGATGCGACCTACCAACACCAACAAGCGTATCCTTGCCGACACCATCATGATCCAGGATAATGAACCCAAAGTCACTCAGCAACGTGCCATGAACCGTGTCCTCGATGAAATGAACCTTTCTTATCAAACCAGCTCCGTTGCATTACTCGATCTCTCTCTCTTCCCCCATGGTCGTATGTTCTTTGAACGCAATATTCCCAAAAAGTATGGATACGAGCCATTGATGGTCCATGCCAACTATCGTGTCGGAGAGGAAAAGAAGAAATCACTCCAGGCTGCAGGTCTTTGGTATATTTAGATCTTATCACACATCACACCCCCACCCCCAATCCCCCAC